TGCCCTTCCCCTTGATTCTGCCTCGTCTGTCCCTAGAGCCTGGGCACCTGCTCGGGGTCACCTCCGGTCCCTTCAGGCAAGCTGGGTGTCACTTTGGCCTGGTGACAGTCCTCAGGACCCATCTCTCCATGGGGCACTGGTACAGACCCAGCTTAGACATTGGCTCCACCCATGACACCCCTGCCCCCCGGAAGCCCGTGCCCCGTGCCCCCGCGTACCTGCTGTGCAGCTGCTTGGCTGCTTGCACAAAGCAAGGCTGGTCTGTTTCCTTAAGAACCTCCTGGGCATAGCCCACTAGACCCGAGCCATCCAGCAGGCTCCGGTGCTCCTGGATCTGGGCGCTGAGACGGGCTAGGCGCTCCTGCTGGCACTCCTCGATGGCCTGAAGCAGTGATGCTCGCTTCTCGTCCAGCACAGCCCCCAGGCCCCGCACCAGCTGGGACACCTCCTCCTTGGCCTGCTGACCACTCACCTGCCCAGACGGCAACACTCACTGTCTCCTCGAGGGCAGCACTTGCGCTAGCCTCCCTCGGATCACCAAAGATCCAGGGGAGTCCTACGCAGCCATTCCAACGGGGGCCAGGCCCACGGCTCCAAAGGCACCTGTCCACCCAGATGGGCTCAACGCCTGACACTTTATGCCACCCTTCCTGGATGCCCACACCATCATCCTGACCCCATAAGGAGTCCCCCAAAGAAAAGAGACCGTGACTGCGCTAACGCCCACTCGGCACCGATGTTCCCCGCCTCCGGGCCATGCTTACTGTCCGTCCCCATGTCGGTGGATTCAAGCAACCTGGCAGAAGGTACGGGAGACAGAGCCTCGCCCTAGCTCCAGGGAGGTGTGCCATCCTCAGCAGGCAGCTGAGCCTGAGGGCATCTGAGCTATGTCCCGGGGCTTTCCAGGCTGTCCTGGTCCTGGGTGATAGCCACACTGTTCCCATTGTAGCCCCAGGGACAGCCTGGTCTGGGGCCCTGGTGTTCCTGCCAACCTGGTTTAACCAGAACCTCGACACACCCATGGACCCCATACAGGCTTCCTGAGCTGTCAAGCAGATGACTGGGCCTTGCCGCTCCACAGCCCCTTCCTGCTTCCGCTCCCGGGTGGGGCCCAGGGCCCACCTCCATGCCCTCCCTCACCTCAGTGTGCCTCACGGTCTCTTCCAGCTCACAGATCTGGGTCTGTACTGTGTCCTGGTTTCCCAGGATGTATGTCAGGCTCTTTGTCAGCTTGTCCTGAGGGGGAAGAAAAAGGTGGGCATCATGCCTAGCTCAGCAGAAGCCAGCCGTCAGGAGGAGGTGTGAGAGGGTGTGAGTGTGGGTTGGCGCGGGCTGGAGCGAGCCGGGGTCCTCACCTTGAGGGCCTGGTAGGCGCTGAGCACTGGGGTGATCTTGTGCCCACCGTGGGTGCGCCTCACCCGGCAGAGTTGGCACACCAGCCGTTGGCATGTCTTGCAGTAATGGGTCACCTCTTCCTTGTGGTCCGGGCACATCAGGCCCTAGCGACAGAAAGAGCAATGACATCATCAGCCAACGGTGGGTTTAAGGCTGCTGACCTCGGGCAGAAGCACGTGCAGCCTGGCCTGCCGGCCTGAACAAGGCGGGCAACCCCGCTGGGGGTGCTCCGCAGTGCCACCTGGCGACGCGCACCGGCATGGACGGGAGCCTCGCTCGCCGGCACCCTCCCTCCCTTCCACCTCCGCATGTGCGGTAACAGCAAGGATGATGATGATTAATCTCTGCTTTGTGGCTAGTAATTAACCTTGTCCATCTTGCTCACTGCCCATCCCCAAGGCCGAGCATAGCACCAGGCACGTGGGTGCTGAATGAATATTTGCTCAATGAATGAATGAATACACACAGACCCTTTCAGCCTAGGGGCAACTTTCCCAAACTACCTCGTGGGATCCCCTCAACAACCCCCAGGGCGTGGGTGATGCAGGGCAGATCTTATTCTCATTCAGCGGACGAGAAGACGGAGCTCCGAGAGGTTTAAAGACTGATGCCGTCCCTCTTTGCAGTTGCTACAGAAACAGAAGCCTGGCAGTGGCCACCTCGGCCCACCCCCCTTGGGAAGCCCCCTGTGCCAGCGCCCGCACCCACCCAGCACCTCAGGCCCCTCTCCGCACTGGCTCACCTTGGGGCGGAAGGAGAGGGTGGGCAGGGTGGGCTCGTGCTGGGCCTTCTGGGTGCCCCAGGGGTGGAAGAGCTTGAAACACTCGTTGCAGAAGGTGGCCCGGCACTCGGTGCAGCCCTTGGTGGCCTCTAGCGGCGGCGGCTTGCACAGCTGGCACAGGATGGCGCCGCCCACACTCACGCTCTGGCGGTAGCGCTCCACCACGCGCTCCAGGGTCAGGTTCCGGAACAGCCCCGCCAGGCCCCGCTCCCCCAGCTCCACATCACCCTGGCAGGCTGGGCACGGGAACACGAGCACCTGGGGGTGCAGAGCGCCGCGCTTCCGCCCGGGGTACGTCCCAAAGCCTGTGGAAGGGCCCGAGGCAAGGGGCTGGAAGTTACAGCGGGCCGAGCGTGGGCAAAGTTACGTTCAATGAAAACAGCAATTTTTATCGTGCCAGAGCTCAGCTCGCGTTAGAGCCCGTGGGAGCCGCGTCTTCACCCTCTGCAAGACAGACAGAGGCCCCTGACCGGACGGACATCCCAGCATCCCCAGCCCCGCCCTCCAGGACCCAGCCCCACCTGACTTAAGCAGCCGATCCAGGCGGTCAGGCTTGGGGAGCGTTCTGCGGGAGAGGCGGGGGCTTCGGGTGGACGGGGTGGAGGCGGGAGAGGTGGGCTCGGAGCTGGGGTCCCCACCAGGGCCGATGTAGCCCTGCTGGCCCAGCAGCTCCCGGGCACAGGCCTGGCACACATTGTGGGCGCAGGGCAGCACCAGTGGCTGCTTGTACATCTCTTGGCACACCGGGCACAGCAGCTCCTTCTCCATGTTCTTCATGCTCGTCTGTGGAGGGAGCAGGAGGCTGGGTCAGAGCAGGGACGCCGGGCATATCTCAGCAGGCCTCTCAGCTGCCCTTAGAAACCCCAGGGGTCTCAGGAAGGGGCAAGGCAAGCCACCTCGGGCTCCCCCCCCCGCCCCCCTCCCACACCAGCCTGGTTCATAGACCTTCCCAGCTCCGGCTCCTGCCTGTCTTCCTCCCGCAGACAGCTAGAGCCTTCGGAGGGTTGGTTGCAGCTCCTGGTTGGAGCACCTGCCTCCCCCAGCCTCAAGCCCCGGCCCTTTCACTCCCCCTGCGGGCGCTGGGCCTGCAGCCCCTCTCACCTGGCCTTTGCCCCCATCCCCCCATCTCTGGGCCGCCAGCTTCTCTCAAGGACACCGCCCGTTCTGCAGCTTGGTGCAGACCCCCGCCCCCTTTTCTGGCAACCCCCCTTCCCCGGCGTGACTCCTCCCTATAGCCAGGCGCCGCACGCTCTCCATCCTCCTGCTCACCGCGTCCATCATCTTGCCGCGGCTAAGCCTGCGGCCGCTCCAGCCTCCATTCCCCATCCTTCACTTCCCCAGCCGTCCCCTCGGGTCGCCAGTACTACCCATTCGCTTTTGCTCCCCCACCATCCGGCCCTCCCGCTCCTTCCCTCGGCGCGACCCGACTAGCCACAACCCCCTCCCCAAGCGAGGGGGAAACAAGCGCCCGCCTACTTGCCCCCTCCCCACCGGAAGTACCCCTCCCTTTTTTGGTGGAGGGGGTCCTCAAGCTATGCCCCACCCCCACACCTCACCTTGGTCCCTCTCTTCGCAGCCATCCCGGTCAGGGGCGCAGCTGACACAAAGGAGGGAGGGACAGGCAGGGAGGGGGAAGGAAGTGGTGGGGGGGAGCAGGGCTGGCACCGCCCCTGGGAGAGCCGGGCACGGGTTGCCATGACAACCGCGGGCTCGGAGGCAGCCGTGAGTGGGGGCGCGGTGGGGTGGGGTCTCGCCGAAGGGTCCAAATTTGGAACTGCACCCTGGGGGCGGCTCCTTCATCGCCCCTCACCTATCCTCAGTTTTCTTGGAAAATATCCAAGCTCACACATGCCCCCTCCTCATAGCATAGCCTCACGGCCCTGCAGCCCCAGCCCTGGGGCACTGCTGGCGGCTACCCCAGCCCACCCGCAGCATCCGGGCAGCTCCCGGTTCCTTACGCCCTAGCAGATGGACGCCTCCACGGCACTCACCTCCGGGATGCCCCAGGATTACCCTCTCCAACCTGCACCCCGACCCTCCCAGTCCTTTCTGCCATCCCCAGCCCCCTGTCTACATCCCAGCATCTTGCCTCATCTCCACTTGTCCGAGGTCCCGGCCTGCCCCGGACCCCTATACTCCCCCTCCCCTTCCCCTCGACCCCACCTTAACTCACACTGATGCGGACCAGTGCATCCATGATGGAAGTGAAGGTTTGCATATCCTCACCCTCAGCCATGGCCCTACCATGCCCGCCCGCCCCCGGGTGCCCGATCCCGGCTGCGGCTGCGAACCCCGGGCTTAAAGCAGGAGCCCGGTGGGGGGTGTGGGGAGGGGTGGGGGGTGAGATGTCACTGCGCATGCTCCAGGGACAGCCTCGAACAGCGCCCGTCGAGGTAGGAGGTGGGAAATAGTTCTCCCCACGTGGTTTTCAGAAGATGGTCGGGGGGTTGGGTAACATGGAATGGTATTTGAGGGGGGAGTCATTTCTAATGTTCGCATTCTTCACTGGCTCCCTAATCGTACTCATATAAAACGGGAGGATAGTTTCAGAGAAAGATGAGCTCCAGAATAGGAGGACTAGATTTTGGTTTGGGCAAGAGTCCACGGGAGATGCGAGGCAAGGATCATGGGGGAGGGGGGTGTGAGGAACAGGCACTAGAGATGACGTATATGGCAAAGGAGACAGAGGTGGGCTAGAGGCTATGGGCCATGGGCCCCGCGGCTTGCTCTGAGGGCAGCAGACGCTCGGGGTGCGGGGAACGGCAAGGGACCAGGGCGGTGGCCAGGGCCGCTCTTGGACGCAATATCTCCTCCCCGCCGGCAGGGGACGCTGCGGCCGGGCGCCTAGAGGGAGCGCGAGCGGGACGTGAGGGGAAGCGAGCCCGCGAGTGGGGCTGACGCATGCGCACGGCCGACCGCCCGGTCCGGTTACCGTGTTTCTTGGCCTGAGGCGCCGACTGGGCCCGGGGGCAGCTCGCGATGGGTAACGGGACTGGCGGGATCCCCCGACGGACCAGTGGGGTGGGGTTGGGGCGGGCCGTCTGCCCGGGTCCTCTGCACGCAGAGCTGACGTGTCCCGGGCCCGGGGGGCGGGAAGGCGCGGGAGCCCGGGGCGGGGACGCCGGGGGTCGCGGCGGGGGTGCGCCGTGCCGGGGGGGCGCCGTGCCGGGGGGGGGGGCGGCTCTGCCTGCGGCGCGGGCGGGGGGGGGCCCGGCCGGACCCCGCGCCTCGCGTCCTCGCCTCCCCTGCAGCCGTGGGCACGGGCACCTCGCTGGCGCTCTCCTCCCTCCTGTCGCTGCTGCTCTTCGCCGGGATGCAGATGTACAGTCGCCAGCTGGCCTCCACCGAGTGGCTCACCATCCAGGGGGGCCTGCTGGGCTCCGGCCTGTTCGTCTTCTCGCTCACCGTATCCTTCCTGCGCTGCGGGGGAGGGGGCCCGCCGCTCCGCCCTGCCGCTCGGCCTGCCCTTAACTCCCTCCGCCAGGCCTTCAATAATCTGGAGAATCTCGTCTTTGGCAAAGGATTCCAAGCAAAGATCTTCCCTGAGAGTAAGTGAAGGTGGGGGTCGAGTGCTTCAGCCGCCTGCTCTAAGCGCCCCCAACACGGTACCGGGTTCTCAGGTGCTTGGTTGGTAAAGGTTGTTGGGAAGGGAATGGGCTTCCTAAGCCCGTCTGGAGGGGGTGCCGGCCTTGGATCCAGCACCTCCCCGAGCTCTTGGACTCGGGGCGGGAAGAGAAGGCCTGAGAGCAGGAAGCCTAGTTCCAGGGGTCTCTGAGGACACTGGGCCGGTGCAGGCTGGCTTTGCAGAGACCTTGGGGAGGTGCGGGGAGGAAACAGGACTGAGTTCAATGAGGGGCTTGATGTGAAGTTGAACCAGTGTTACTGGGTTCTGTTTATTGGAGATGATCATGAAGAGCTTCGATATTATAGCAGATTTCTGTGTCTGCAGGAATCCTGACCAAGGTAGAATAAATGTTAGGTTATTTTCTCTTTGCAACAGTACTTGTTATTGCTCATGTAATGGAGTGTTGATGCAGTTATTTATGCAGAATTAAGTTCATAAAGCAACTGAGGCATCAAGGCCGATCACCTGAGCAAGGTCACAAGCTTGAAGGTGGCAGCAAGTGCTGCCTCTTGAGGAACCTTCATCTGGTAGAACACAGACCTGCCGCTGCCCTGAGTCCTTGCGCTCCTCTAGGTCGTGTGCCCTCCGCCTAGCCCTGTGGCAGCCTTCCGGAGCTTCTCCCTTCCAGCAGCCTCGAGATCTCTGAGATTTTGTTTCCATGTGCATTGTCTTCCTTTGCTTCTGAAAGAAACCTTTGTTGTGAGCCAAGATTCTTGACCCCCTTCGCCCTCCCCAGCTGGGCAGGTGGTATCTGCCCAGCCGTCTAGCCTCTCACTTTCTCTCTGGTCCTACACCAGAGAATCCCGAGACCCTTTCCTGCCTCCATGGGCACGTGCGTCCAGACGCCCGGCCCTCCATCCTGCGTCCAGGGAGTGAGGCCCTCAGCTTCGACCACTGGCCAGCCAGTTTAATGAGTTGATCCTTAGTGGCTGGCTTTTGTTGGAAAGGCCTTACCTTTCTTTCCCAAATGGGAGCAAACCTTGCTTTTCAGACTCTGTATCACTTTCCCTTTTCCTTTATATTGGAAGAGAGTCAGGATAGGGAAGTGATATCTGGGACAGAGCTGGTAACGAGCATGCGTCTCCTCCCTCCACGTCCTGGGCATCCTTAAGGGCATCTGAAGTCCTGCTGATGTCCAGCCGTATTCCTCCAAGCAGATTCCCCAAGTTTCAGAGGGCCCCCGATTTCTCCTAGATTCCCCATATGAATGCCTGGTGTTTCCAATTCCCACCACCGCCCTCCTTGTCCCCTCTTGCCTTCCCAGTTCTTCTCTGCCTCCTGTTGGCTCTCTTTGCATCCGGCCTCATCCACCGAGTCTGCGTCACCACTTGGTAAGTGCCTCACGGCTGGGGAAGGGGTGCAGCACCCTGTCCTTCGGCACTGTAATTCCTCCTGTAATGATCGCAGACCTTCCCCGTCCCCTTCTCCCCCCATTCTCCCTCCTGTCCCCTTCCCCATTTTCCTAAACCTGACCCAGGATTCTTCCCCTGATGCTGCTGTGTGCCCCGGGAGACACCGGGCTGGCAGTGTACCCCCCGATGCTGTGACCTCTTTGTTGTCCCCGTGTAGCTTCATCTTCTCCATGCTTGGCCTGTATTACATCAACAAGATCTCCTCCGCTCTGTACCAGGCAGCGGCTCCCGTCCTCACACCAGCCAAGGTCACGGGGAAGGGCAAAAAGAGAAATTGACCCTGAGTGTCCAATAAAGTTGGTTCTTTGTAGCTCCGTGAGTGTGACGTGCTGTGGCCTCTTCCGCCGATGCGTGCATGGTGCGCCTGGTGGTGTGGCAGGTGGATACCTGCTGTTTCCAGGCCTTGGGGATGGGGGGGGCTTGCCTTCCTCCGAGAGTTGTTTCTAGCAAATACTTACTGACTACCGTCAGTGCCGTGAGTGCTTGTGTAAAAGTCTCGTCGTGGAAGAAAAGTGCGTGGATGATCTGCCGTCTTGACCTTTCGGAAAAGGGGTCAAGGCTGTAGTGCAGGAAGCCTTCCTTGCCTATCAGAGTGGAATAGATCTTGGAACAGAAGAACAAGGGAAGGAGAGAACCCTTCACCCCTACAACTCCCTGTGGAGTTCATTTACACCTCTGGGGGTCTTGTTACTCTGACTCCCCACCCCGAGCAAACAAGCCTCCTGCCCTTTCTGCTCCACGTCCTTGGGAGGGAGGTCCCTACTGATGTTGCCCTCCTGGACCCATCTGTTCAGCTCCAGCATGGACAGATAACCTGGGTTTAGAAAGACTCCAAGGTTGATCCCTGCCCCATCCTCTTTGTTCAGGTGCCTCCATTTCTCTTCTCTGGCTTGTAGCCAATAGATAGGGCCTTGCTACGCTTTAGCAAAGCATATAGAACGATAGGGACAAAGCCATCGGCCGTGGAGCCAACCTTGATGGGAATGATGTGGCTTCTCAGGTCCTCCTCTGTGCTCTGCCCTGAGGGGTGCCTCTCTGTCCAGAGTTTCTGTCCTCTGAGGGCCCCGAGCACCTTCCTTTCTGCTGGATGGCGTGGGCTTTAGGGTTTGCACAGCGCCGTGGTCAGCTTTGTATCCTGCACAGTGCTTGATCGTGGGCAGTGAAGACCTGGGTTGGTGGGCAGAACCTGCCCTCTGGCAACAAAATACTGTACATGGGATGTGTCTAAGTAGGGATGAAGTCCCAGTGGAGATGAAGAAGTGAATCGAAGGAGTTCTGGTCAAGGATTAGAGCCCCCTCCCTCTAATTAGAGGACCACCCCACCCACTCCAATCCACTCGGGAATCCCAGACCCCATGCTCCTCAGTCCCTAGCTTGGGGGAGTGCTGTGCAGTGTGCCCAGGATGCCTGCAGAGGGTGCCACGAGCTCGAATCTGCAGGTCAAGCCTGCCCTGAGGGCTAGGGAGGGTTGCGGCTGGGTCTCACCGTTCTGGCCCAAGTCTGGGTGGAAGCCCGCCTGGGAGGCCCTGAAGGACTGGCCCCTTTCGAGCTGGAGTCTGAAGCAAGTGTCCCTGGGAGCGGAGGCAAAGAGCGTTCAAGGGACACCAGAGCCTCCCTGAGAGGGAATGGCAACTCCAGGCTCTAACTTACCTAGTGATGGTTAGGGGCTTGGGGTATGTGGGACCCTTTGGGGGAGGATGACCAGTTGTCCAAAATGGACCCTGGATCTAAGGGGAGGCTGAGTTGGCTCTAGGGCTCCCTCTGTCAGACTCTGACTTCCTCCTAACTGGGGTGGGAGCTGTGGGCAGAGGGCCAGGTCCCAGCCAAGGGAGCATAGACACCCAGGGTGGGGGTTATCTGGCCACCTGAGGGCACCCTGGCTTCTAGATGAGAGTTTGGGCAGGGCCAGGCTAGGGAAGGGTGGGGAAGAGCCGGAGAGCAGGGGTCAGGCCCAGCGATCTGAGCACCCTGCCACCCACTGCGTAGACACCAGGGACAGTGAGTGGCTCAGGAATAATGACCCCTTCCTCAGGGAACAGATGCATTTACAAGGCAGATTGGGGCCTATCTCCAGGGTGCCTAGTTACATGTTGCGGACTTAACCTACCAATTAGCCCTGGCAGGGGTATCCTACCCACTAATAACCATCATTAAGTAAGGGTGCGTGAGGCCATCATGGCTTCTGGAGGCCTGGAGGTGGGAGGGGCAAAGGCGCTCACCTCCTGGCTCCTGCTCTCCTGGGCTCCACTCCACCCCAGCGGCTGGAGGCCTGGGGGAGAGAGAGGTGGTGGCCCCTGGAGGACAGAGGGAAGCCAGATGTTTCCTCCTGCTCCCTCACACGTGGCCCTGACACCCACCCACCCGCCAGCACTGTCACCAGCTCCGGAAACAGGAGTAAATAATACAGGGGGAGGGGGCCCTAGATGTGTGGGGAGCCAGGCCGGGGAGGACACTCCAGCAGCTCCTGGCCCTAGAGGCACAGGTCTTGGGGCCGGAGGTGATGCTATCAGAGAGGAGGGCAGTGAGAAGGGGGTGTGAGAGAGCTCCCTAACCCCTGGCAGAGGCTAGATTCCTCCCAGACTGGCACTGGAGGGAGGGGGCACCACGGGGTTGGACTGGGGGGTGGGGGGTGCCCAGGACAGGCAGGGAGCAAGGGAGTCCGCGCCAGGCCTTGGCTCCAGCCCTTTCCGGCCCTTATTGTCCTTGGTGAGAACAGGACGCAGTCTGGTTCCCACTGCCCGGCCCCCCAGCTCTGCTCCCCAGGGGCTCGGGAAGGATGTTGGGAAACAAGAGAGAGCCAGAGACTTATAGAGACAGAGATGCTGAGAGACGCAGAGACAGATACAAAGGGGAAAGATTCCGTCAAAAGCCAGCATTGAAGTTCTTTGTGAGCAGAGAAGGCCCTGGGCACTGTGGGAACCATAAAAGAATGGGAAGCCAGAGGCCCTGCCCCCTCGGGGGGCCTCAGGGCTGGCCTGCCCCGTGCACGCTCCTTCTTGACTTAGGGTCAGTCACTGAGCCGCCTCCTAAGCAAACAATGGCTGGAACCCTGGTGCAGGCACGGTTGGTGGCACTTAATTGCTCTGTTTCAGGTACCTTTCTTTGCCTCGCTCCCAGCAGAGTAGAAATTCCTCAGGGGGCAGGGCCAAGATCCTGCCCCAAACCCTACCTCCCCAGCCCCCTGGGGCTTTGAGCAACCTGGCCACACAGACCTTGTGCTGGAAAGGCTATTTGCTTGGGTTCCTAGAGAGACAAACAGGGAAGCCCCTGGTGGCCCCAGAGGGAGGCCCCTGCATCACCTGGAGTGACAGCCGAAGCCTGGCAGGAAGCTCCAGAGGCCCCTGCCCCCCGCCACCTCCCCCCCGCCACCTCCCCACAGCCCCCTCCCCACAGCCCCCTCTCCCCAGCCCCCTCTCCCTAGCCTTTGCAACCGAGGGCTTGGGCTGGGCGTCCTTCCCTCCAACCAGCTCTCTTCCACCTGGGCCCAAGGGGCTCACAGCTGCCCCCTGGGACACAGGTCCCTCATGTCTGTTGAGGCTCCAGATAAGCCTTAAGATGAAGAAAAATGGAAACATGTTTGAAGTGTTTGCATTTAACAAATGAATACTTTTTATTTTATTATTTTTTATTTTTTTAAAGATTTTATTTATTTGACAGAGAGAGAGACAGCGAGAGAGGGAACACAAGCAGGGGGAGTGGGAGAGGGAGAAGCAGGCTTCCCGCGGAGCAGGGAGCCCGACGCAGGGCTCGATCCCAGGACCCTGGGATCATGACCTGAGCCGAAGGCAGATGCTTAACGACTGAGCCACCCAGGCGCCCCAAATGAACACTTTTTAACACAAAATTACAATATGATATAATCATGTTAGTAACAAGATTATTACAGGATTTTTAGGAAGTTTTCCTTCACGGGCAACTGCAGGCCCTATCTTATAATAGAAAGCCCTGTGATAATGGGCATCTCAGATTCATTGTTCGGTTGTTTCTATGTTTGTATATATTTGGAGATTCCCTAACAGCGCTTTGAGTCCCTTGTACGGTGTATTCCTCCTCTCTGTCCTGTCAGGGGCAGTGGTGTGACCAGCATGCTGTGCAGAGAGCATCCCGGGCTCAGTGTGAAGCCCTGGGAGCTCAGACCTCAGCCAAATGGCCTCTGGGCCTGTGAGGAACTCTCCTCTGAGAACTCCCCTTCCCTCAGGCTGGAAGAGCAGGGGGTCGCCTGCCCATTTTAGGGTGAAGCTGCACTGTCCGGGGTGGGGGGTGCAGGACGCACAGAACAACCTCCCGCATACCCCTCTTCTGGGCCAAGAGCTGCTGTGGGCTGACCTCCGGCTGCTTCCAGGGCATTTCTGGGACTGAGGGGCGCATACACCGGTGTGTGAGTGTCTGGGAATAACCCCCCCAGCCTCCCCCACTTCCTGCCCTCAGCCTCCAGCCCCCATTTCCAGCCTCTGTGACTCAGAGAGTTCCAGGTTCCAGACAGGACGTGGGACAGTGGGACGGCCTGGGGCTTGAACTCAGGCTGACCTGCCTTCTAGTTTGGGCTTTGAACCCTTACCTGGTGAAGGTCCTTTGGCAAGTTGAGTGAGCTCTCCGCACCTTCAGTTCCCCGGCTGGAAAATGTGGATAGTAACACCTGCCTCAGCTTGTGGTAAAGAAGGAGATGCCGCGGTGGAGGGGCTGAGCAGAGAGCACGGGCGCCGTCCTGCAGGGCGTTGGACAAGCGTCCCCGTGAAGTGACGAGGATGCACACCTTGCCAGGCGGCGTCCTCCGTGCTTTACAGATATTCTCGATTTCAACTCTTACCTTGAACCAAAGACTGACCTCCCCAGACCCGGAAGGAATACAGCAGCCGTTGGCCTTCAGACTTGACCCCCAACCCCAGCGCTGCCCCAGGGCTCCAGCCTGCAGGGTGCCTGGGGGTATCTGTGTTCCCCTGCCCTGTGGCCTGGCCCTCTGCCCACCGCTCCCCACCAAGGGAGGAGGAAGTCAAGGGTTTTGTGTTTGTGGGTTGTTTTTTTTTTTTTAAAGATTTTATTTATGTATTTGAGAGAGGGAGAGGGAGAGGGCATGCATGCAGGGGGAGGGGCAGAGGGAGAGGGAGAGAGAGAATCTGGAGCGGACTCTGCACTGCGCGTGGAGCCCAATGCGGGGCTCGTCCCCACGACCCTGAGATCACGGCCTGAGCCGAAACCAAGAGTCAGAGACTCAACTGACTGCGCCACCCAGATGCCCTGGAAGTCAAGTTTTC